TATTAAAAAACTGTATTGAATTTAAGAAATAATGAAATGCTGTATACATTTTTACATTGTATTAAAGAAACCATTACCAAGATGATGTGTAGCTCTGTTCTTGATACATGAAAGATGTTGGGCACATTCTAGAATGTGTATAAAGAAACGTAAGAACTATTTGAGAACTAACAAAATTGCTGTGTGACATGAAAATAAAGGACTTCAAGATATTTTGATTTTATTTATGCAGAAGATGGATAAGATACATCTTGATCACAGTTTCAAAGCAGGAAATTTCTGCTAATAGCAAGTTATTTAATTTAGCATAGAAAGGCATAATGAGGTCCAAAGGCTTGAAACTGAAGCTGAATGTATCAATTCTGCATAGAGTATGACATTCTTAATAGTGAGGCTAACTAAACACTGTCACAATGTACTTCAGAAATCATGTAGAGTATCTTGTGGAAAGACAGAAAAACTCAGCTTGAAGCCCATTTAAGGTACAAAACCTAGGACTGTGGCATTTACTTGTACCAGAATGTGCACTCTCCTTAGTAGACAGAAAATTAATGTATGTGAAACTTACAGAAATTCCCTGAAGGAACTGTAAAACTGTATTCCAGGAACTGAAAGTAGCTATGTTCAGAACTGCAAATCTAGGTGATAAAGACGATGTTTTCATAATTGTTATCTTTTGACAGAATCCATCCTGTAACACAGATACAACGGACTAACCTTTTGGTTGGTTTAGTTGATTAGTGGTGTGGCTGAATTGGTCAACCATTCTATTACTTAATTATTCAGTTAAATACTTCGGTGCTTTTTTAACTGATAAATCACTCAACTCAGTGGAATAGGTCTTCTGCAAGAAAAAGCTGTCCTATATTCAAGTTACACGCTAAATCAATTTTACAGTTGGTTTATATAATGGAGTAACACCATCCCACAAGCATCTGCTCTTAGGGTGCTGCATATTCCTACTCAAACATGTACCAAGCAGTGCAGATCAGATGACAGGACTCCTTCAAGCAGCAGTGATACTCCTGCAGCACCCCACCACTCCAAAATGGTGTAAGGGAGAGGCTATAAATGGGGATTTCCCATTTCTATGTGTATCTTTTAATAAAAAGGTGGATGTGAGACCATGGTTCCTGCTTAATAATTATAACCCATACTTTAGTGTTAATTTCTGTACATAGATTGCTTTTAGTCATGGAAGAAGTTAGTTAAGTAGTCAAGAAATGTCAGAGTTGCTTATTTACATAGCTTGGTGTCATTTTCTTCTATGGAATAATTTTGGGTTTGAAAAAGGTGCCATATGTAATTTAACAGTTTTTACTTGATGAGGATATTTGTTAGCTGCTTGGCATACCTTGGCAGGAGGTTTTTTATGATACCATGTCTTTAGTTACTCTGCATTGCAAGGAGGAAGGAATCAGACTTCAGACCTTGTTATTGCAAAAATATTTAATCTGACATTACTAAAGTATCACTCATTTTAACAAAGAAAAACATGTCTTATCTCTGGACCTTCTGGTCCTAAGAAGTTAAATACCTGCTGCAGGTAACACTGGTCTCAACTCCAGGAGTCAGTTCTAAAGTATCTGTACTTTTGGTTCTCAGCAAACACACAAGGCTTTCAGGTCTTTGAATTCTACTAGTACTAACCTCTGTGAAGAACGAGAGACATCAGAGCTGTATGTATCATATAGTAAGAATGAGTCATGGAATAAGAAAGGTGTGGGATGCTGTGGAAAGTTTGGTCATAGATGATGCTTTTGAGAAGAGTTGCCCATACCTCTCCTATGTATGTAATCATTCACTGACAACTTTGGTTTCCAATAAAACATATTCACATATGCATGTGCTCTGACACCAGGCGTTCATGGTACAGTGAGTATGGATATGATGTGAGAATATCAGATATATGCTAACTGACCAAAAGGATGTGGAGAAACAGTCTGAATCAGGTGGTAATATTAGGAAACGGAAATCCTCTGCAACCTGTGATGGAATGACCCAAGACTTGAGAGTGTAAATTCTTTGTTAATAGTGTATTATGCTGTCATGGAAGTCTGCATCTTGAAAGCCGAATTCAAGTACTCAAAATTAAACATCATAACAGCTGATCTTTTTTTATTTATATTATTTCAAAATAATAGTAAGCTTTGGGATAGCAGGATGTTGAAATACTCTATGAAAAACTGTTACATACAAGAGAATACAGAGCAAAATATCCTATTTCACACATACAGATCTTAAAACCAGGATTGAATGTTTTCAGAAAGAACACTTTTCTTTTAGAATGTTATTACTGTCACACTTTCACTGCTTGGTGAACATAATTCTGATTCTACTTGTCTCACTCTAGATCCCAACAGACATCCAGACTTAGTTTTCATCTTTTTCCCCTTTATGTATAAATCAGGATAATCTGGCATGTCTGTGAAGGCCCCTTGGAGATTCAACATACTGATAAGAGGGAGAAGATAGTGATTGGCTTTTACCCTTAAAACCCATGATGTCTACTTTGAGGTATTCAGATGTATCTGTATTAGTCCCCCCCTTTTAATATCTTCAGAGATATTCCACTCTCCCTGATAGCAGAGTCATTATATAATAGAAAGGCAAAAGTAAAAGAAGAAATTCAGTCCAAAACCTGTACTATAGCTACTTCTGCTGTATATCCTGGTAGAGTACACTGGTACGAAAAGATCTGATGAGGTAAGATTGTACTCCTCCATGCTTGGCAACAGAGCACAGGATTTGCAAAAGATGGGCTAAAGTGCCAAGAACACGTGCCAAGTCATCATATCTCTTCAGCTCCTTCTGCTGGAAGGACCTCACCACAGCTCCCCGAATGTTTGAAATCCACCATCAGTCAGTGATATTGTTGCTATTTAAGCATCAGTCCTTACTTTAGGGCAGTTGGCCAGACTGAAGCAGACAGCACATTTTCTCCCTTATTTTAATAATTTGTGAAGTATTTCAGGGTGAACACTTATGCAAATAAACGTGAATTTTTGGAGAATTCTTTCTTTGTTTGGGATACGCTGAATTAAATCATCTACTTTGTTAGGATGTTTCCTAGAAAACCGACTTAGCGTGATATTGATGCTGAAGGGTGACAGCTGCCTAATCAGGGCAATTCTAGTGTAATTTTCATTAGGGACAATCATTAGCTAGTGCTATGTATTTATACTGAACATAAAGCTCAAGTTAAAGGGAAAGCACTTATCTGTCAAAACTTCCGCTCAGTTTGAAATCCTCAGTGGGTTGGTTTTGACACTAGTCTTGCTTCCTCTCACAACAAGTAGTGGGAAACAATGTAAAAAAAAAAGAGTGCCACAGAGCATCCATTCGAAATGGATCAGAGGATTACCATCAAAAAATCAGAGGATTACCTTAAAAAGTATTCTGGACTACCATATATCTTTATCGTCCATTTTAAATAGGTTGTTTAAATGATGCACAGTTTTTTAATGATTTTATTGTTTATGGTCATATCCAGGACTACAGTTTGGGAACAAGTGCAATAGAGTTACTTAGTTTTTTTCTCTACTTTGCTGTCCCATAATGTAGTTACGTTTTATGTCGCTTTTCATCTGTAGATACCAGTACACTGAGAGTACTGTCAAAGGAGATACTGTATTCTCTTGTAAAACACTTATCTCCAGCTTACAAATAGGGAAATGAAGGCACAGGAAATAAAAGATACTTTTTCTTTTCCCTAAGGGTATCCAGTAGTCCAGTAGGCAAAGTCAGGGGTAAAGCTCAGGTCTCTCAAGGTCAGTGTCTCAATTTAACTGCTTGTTTAACAATTGGGAAAAGTTTTAACCCTCAAATTTGCTTATCTATGGACTTTACTTCCCTGAGGCCAATTCTAGAATAGTTTACAGCAAGCCTCTTCACCTGTGAAAGGGGAAATGAAGATTCTGACATTTGCCTGCAATATAGGTAGACAGCTGTCATTTTTGTTCAGCATTTTACAATATGCTAATATGATTGTATATAACAAATAGATAGGGCTTTATGTTGTAAAATCTTGGTTTTGATCATAATCTTGATGATTTGAATACATATGAAGGTGTTTCACCTGTTTCATACAACATGGCTGTTAATATATTTCATCTCCCCTCTTGTTTTACTTTTTATCTTTGGTAATTTTCAGGAACTGAAGTTTCTTGTTAAAGTCTCTGACTCAGATGAGAATGACCCATCATCTCAGTTAGGGAGATGGCAATTCAACATGCAGAGAAAAAGGCCCAAAGAGAACAGACAGAAAGCTACATTCATGATACATCTGGGCAACAAGATATTGCTGCAAAGCAGGGTGTTTGTGTTGATTCCAGGTGAACTAGCTGGGTTGCCAAAAGCAGGGCCACTCTGGTTTCACTCGGACTGGGGACTGGACTAGGGAATGTAGTTCATAGCTGGACTTGGGTAACTGCATGGCACTGCATTGTACTTCTGTTGATATGACAGAGAGCAATAGTTACATGTGAGCTTTTATGTAAGTGTGAAATGACTCACTCCAAAAAGCATTTTCTCAGATGTAAAAAAGCCTGCTACAGAGCTGTGTTACTGACCTTAGTCCTAAATTATGAATCTTATAATGTCTTGATAAGTACAAAAATCTTATACATTCATATGTTATATGAACCAATAATGTGTAAAAATAAATTTAAGATGCATCCTGCTGAATTTTTGTGTTAATTCATGTACGTTATTTCTCAGGCAAAAAAAAAAAAAAAAAACAAAACAGGCAGGAACAGATTACTCACAATTGCACATGTTTCAGCCTGATGATGATGATTCTTTAATTAGAACAGTGGAAAGTCAGCATGAATTCTTTTGTTTTACAGAAAGCAAGAATAATTGAGGTTAAATAAAGGTTAATGAGAGTTTAATTGGTAGATTGTTTGTTGTTGTTGTTGTTTTTGTTGTTGTTGTTGTTGTTTTTTTTCCTCTTCTGGTGATAACAGGAATGTTAGAATCCTTGACGTTGATGGCAACAGATTGGGCAGGCCTGGTGTTGATTGCTACTGCCAACATGAAAGTGGTGCTGCAGTTCTGCAGCTCCAGTTCTTAATCAATGAGGTAAGGACATATTTACTCAGATTCTTCTGTATAAATTCAGTTGAGTAAGTCAACTGGTGTATTGTAATTGAGTGATATAACTTTTCTCATTGATAAATTATGCCAACAAGTAAGTGGCGTACATCCAGAGGATGTTCACCATACTGCCTTTTAGAAGACTATTTATGGGACAGCACCTGGGGAGAAATATTACCTTCATATACATTAGTATAAAGTACTGAACAAAAGGCAGTCAATATATGAATGAGTATAGGTAGATGTAAAATTATTAAATTACTAAATATGCAGCACAGTCCTGTTTCAAATAGAAATTGATAAATGAGCTAAATCTCTCTATGGCAATATATTGATAGTTATTGGCTGAAAACTCAGTAGTTGGGGATATGCTGCTACTTGAAACAAGGAAAAGCAATTACAGGGGTCATCAATCAAACCAGTATGCTTAGTTTTTGTAAATGGTATGTTGAAATTAAATGTAGACAACATGAAGAAACAGTGACAGATTTTATCTTGCTCTGTGCAGAAGTTCTCTGGAGATGGTGATAAGCAAGAAGACTTTCTGGAGCATATAAATGTTTGGGTTTTTTTTCTAGAACCTCATACCTGGCTAAATTATAAGCTAGTCGTAGTTCAGTTTTAATTTTCTCCCATCATATAAGGAAGCACTTTGATAATTTTGACTCCTCTTTCTAAGTGTGGAGATCTTAAAGCTTGTCAAGGAGTTTTAGTTTTGTGGGTTTTTCAACCTGAGAGATACTGATTTTTTTCTACACTTGACTGGAGAAAGTACCTGAACCTGAAAACTGAGGAGGGAGGACTGAAACTTTAGAAAGAATCAGTTCGGTAGAATTCTTTAGGGGAAGGCAAGGATGAAAACAGGGAGGCCAAGGTTTGAATCAGTGTTGTTTGTTTTCATTAGGTGACCAGCAGTACCCCTAATACATAAGATTATTTAGATTTCCTCTCTGACACTGGTCCAAGCTCTCTGGGAGATGAGAATTAAAGCATGTATTGCACTGTATTAGAGAAGTCTTACCTTCAGAAATTTAATGTGTTAGTGTTGAAAAGAACAGTTTCTAGGGTTAGGAAGGAAATTCAAGAAGCAAAAAGAGAAGTTTATCAGTCAATCATAGTTGGTATGAACTGATCTTTCAGTTACATCCTCGCCCTTCCTCAGAATAAAGCATTGCCTTCTGTTTGGACAATATCTAGTTCCTCTCTGGCACAGTAGTACACAGGGAGAGATCTTTTGTGCTACACCTGATCTGAGGTGTAAATGTCGTAAACCACTGCAGCAGCAGTCCATTCTCAAATAGCATCACTGTTCCGTGGTACGGAGAAGGGCAGTGGGAGGGAGGGAGGATAAGTTCACTTCAAGCTGCCCAGGCAGATAGAGGTCTGGACTTTGGAAGATGTTCGTTTTGGGGTACCAGAGGCAGAACCAGTCTTAAGAGTACTTCTGATCTGTGATAGAGACTCATTTTACCTACATTCCTTAGTTTTTCCAAGGTCCTCTCTCTCTACTTTCTTATCTGCATCTTCTTTTCACAGTTTGTGTTTTTAATTTCATGTTATCTTGATATGACTACTGAACTGTACTTGGCACTGTCAATCGTCTGTATGTGTGTGCACTAATCCCTTTATCCTTTAGTTATATACCTCACACCTTTTTAAGTAAGTGGTGTCTGTTCTTCATTTCATTAATATCTGTGCTTATGTGGAAATATGTGAGAGTTCACATGTATAGTGTTGGTACGAAGCTTTAATTTGCATTTTAAATTGGTGGAGTTTTAATTTAACTTTGGCTGATCTTGTACTCATTTAAAATTTTTACATGTACTAGATCAATTCAAATTGACTATAATTTATGGTAGAATATTTTTTCTTCCAGAAGAAAGCAACCATTTTTCATAATCTGAATTGTTTTCTATGGGTAGATCATTAACAGTGAGAATCATTTAAGAATAAGACAGAATCTTCAGAAAAGTAATACATTGTGCTGTATTTTCTGTCTGCTCTAGGGTGCTTTGGTCAGTGCAAGTGCAGATGATGCACTTCATTTGTGGAATCTCCGACAGAAACGACCAGCTATCCTACATTCTCTGAAATTTAACAGGGAAAGGTAAGACTATATGACACAAAATAAATATCTCATTAAAAAAAAAAAAAAAAAAAAAAAAAAAAACCAACACAAAAACCCAACAACAAACTTCTCAGATTTTTAATAATACATGCTTATTAATTTGCCTTTCTAAAGGTAGATATAGTTTTGTCCTGAAATTTTTTTCTTCCATTGCTTGATTCTTGTTTCCATAGAACAAAAATTTCACTTTCTCTTTCTGCAGCCTTCTCAGAACTAGAAAAAAATTGTCTGCTTTTTGTTAAAATGTTTTTCATTTTATCTTCTATTTGCATGAACCAATATGAACAATAGCGTGTTTGTTTTTCTTAAGACCAGACACAAGCACTGTGACCTTTTGGCTGATCTGTTGTTCAGTATTATCCAGAGTATTTCAGCTGGCTATATCAGGAAAACAATCTTCTTTACCTTGAAAGGGTATTGTTTTTGTAAAATACTGGAAATTTAGCACAAATAAATTCTGAATTTTGGAAACTATGGTAAATATCAAATGAATCAGAGACTTTTTTTCTAAATTTTACTTTTTCAGTACCTAATTGTAGAAATCTCTACTGAAAATAGATTAAATGTGTGGTTGTAATTTTCAAACTCAAACAGAAGCTGAGCATTTCAATCTGTGTTTAGTCACCTGAGTAAAAGCTGCTGATACAGTGTAGCTTGAATGCCACACTTTTATTAATATTAAGGAAAAGTTCTGTTTATGCTTGGGAATTAGATCAGAAGACCAAGATTCAGAGTGCATAAATGCAGCAGTTGTTTTTTTTGTAAGTCCTTGAACAATACAGTTATTCTTCATTTTTGAGATGGATTTTTTAAAATTTGAACACATAGATTAATTTATAGTATGGTTTTCACTGGAAGTTTAGGTGATATGGTAATTCTCTTTGTATATACATCCAGTGTTTATTAAGGTGCAGCAACTTCTTTTAGATATTTATAAATTTACATGTGCAGTGGTGAAAAACATCAGTACTTTACCAGAGCTGTGGAGTAAACAGGCTCATCAAAGCTTTAGCTGCAGCAGATTTGAAAATTATTATGGAAATAGACTTTTTCTTTGTTGTTTATTATTCAGACACCTATCATGTTTGCACTTAAATGTCAGCAGGTTGCAAGTTTTGTTGTGGGAAGTACTACATAATAATTTAGAAAATACACATCCTGATTCCAAAGTGTTTATAACCTATAGGACAAGTGTATGAAGTGGTTTGGGGCTGCATGAGGGAAGATGAAAAAGAAAAATTACATGTATATTTGCTAGCTGCTTCTGGACAGTAATTCATCATTTTACCTATGATGAAATATTTGAATCTTGGTATTCTCATCAGGTAGGTACATTATCCACAATTTGTCACTGATAAACCTAAATATTGTAGAAGTTATTCCAGTACATCTTGGTCTAGCTTTCCCAGCCAGCAACCTTCCTTACAATCTAAGGAATCAATATTTATAAGACTGCAGTGTCTGTTCACCTGTTTGCTTTCATTTCTCTTCAGAGACATTAGTATGGTATCTTGGTCAGAATTTTACCAGTTTCTTGATAAAATAAACTCACATTTGGGCTTTGCTAAGAGCAAAACATTTGTCATCACATTTACCTATTTTTTTTTTTTTTTTTTGCTTCTGACAGTCTAAACCATTGGGCAAAATATTAGGACGCAAGTTATTTGGAATACTGGAAAACGTGTCATTACACAAAACTTTGGTTTTGTGCAATTTTTGAACCGAGGTTTAAAAAGGATCTGAGGATATAGCTATTTGTAACAAATACATAGCTTGTTATGCTTGCCTTTTTCAAAGTCTAGTAAGTTGTGAGTTTAAGAAAAAGTACTGTTAGTTCTTTTATGCATGTTTTAAATAACTTGTACAATCACTGCCATTTAAATAATTTTTATTAGCACATCAAAGGCTATGAGGCAGATATCATGATACACTGCTATATAATATTGTCAAAGAAGTGAATCTAGTTTTAAATTTAAAAAGAGTTTTCAGTAAGTATGAAGAAATACCTGTGTAGGCAGTTCTTTTCTTTCAGGGTTCTCTAGCACTGTCTTAATTTTTTCAGGTTTTTTTATTCAAGCACTTGGCTCCAGAATTAAGTCTCTTCATTTTTTTATTGTATTTTCTTTTAACATACATAAAAATTAATTTCAGATCATCTAACTTTCAATTTTCTAAGCTTGATTACACATTTAGTATCTAAAATTCAACATTAGCCTCTGGGCAAGTAGCAAAAGACTAAGGCTAAACCCTTAATTAACCCTCTCATTAATTTGGAACATTTTGCTGTATATATGCCTAACAGAGTTAAGTCTAAAAGACACCTTCCATTTTTTTTCTGAATATATTTTTTGTTTTAGAGCACAGAAGTTATGAATTACGTCACGCTCAGAGAAACAGCAAATAATGGTTGCCTTGTCTATAAGAAATTTATGACAAAATGGATGTGAGGGGAATTTTTGAAGCTGCGAAAGCAGTAAGATCAAAATTGATTTTCTTCCAGAAATTCAAATACCTGTCTCCCAAAAATTAGTATCTTTTTCACTGTTGGAACAGTTGAAAAAAAAAAATTATTTTCATCCTCTCCTCTTTCAGGGAGAGGTTAAGGGGAAGCAAGATTCATACTGTATAGAAAGTTTCTTTCTTTCATCTTGTTTTAAATTTGTGAGCCAGTTAATTAGCTGGTTTTGATGTTTCTTAAATGGGGAGAAATGCTAATTGACAGAGAATATGTTTTGAAATACTGATGCGTGTTTTCAGAAAAAGTAAGGTATTGAAAAGGCTGTAGAGGGAAGTGCTTAGACAGTCAAAGGCTAGCTCTTACAAGAACACCATTTATAATTTAATTTAATTTTAGATTTAGACAGATTTTAGGGAGCCAAACAAATAATCATTCAGATGTATTTTACCTATGAAAATGGGGCATGTGTCTGCTTCATATTTTCTTATTTGCATGACTCTTCTGAGGATTTATAAAAATTGTAATTTTATTCATACAATATGTTTGTCTCCTTGAAACAGTTTGGTTTAGATTTTTTTTTTTTAACTGGCAGATTTACTTCATGAAGTGATGCAATATAATGCACTTTTATTTAAAACGTTCATGTTTTATCTGCTTGTGATGGGAAAGTTATTTGTGTTAGTCCAAATTCTTGATTAATTTGACTCGATTAGATTTCATGTGGAATCAGTTTATTCTGAGCTTTAAAAATATTTGATACATGAACCATACAGCTGTTAGATTCTGTTAGATGGATGAATGCTACTTAGGTCTTTGGCTGTTACTCAGTGTACCAGTCTTCATATTGTTGAACTATTTAATTTGCAATTTGTTTCTGTTTCTTGACATTTAAGATTGCAGGAAAATGGACTAAAATCTCCTCTTAGCAGTGTTGCTGTATATGTTTATGCAATTACTTGAGTCAAATTTCCGCAGATGTATACACATATATGTGCCCCCTTTCCCCCTCACAAAAGTAAAAAACATACATGTTCTTTTCTTCAGATGTTGGTAACAACATAGATGTAAAGAGCAAAGAACTCTTAAATGCAGCACATTGGTTATCTTTCACTTACCATGTAACATTCAGTATTAAGACACTGAATGGTTTATGAATTCTCTAACAAAATGCACTATTGTAGCCATGAAAACATAGTTTGCAACCTTTCCAGATTTATTTTTTTATTCTTCTTTCTTCTGTTGTTAAACTAAGGCTGATGCAACATTAGCAATATTAACTTGTCTCTTAATTCACTGCTCCTTTACTAAGTGTCTCTTTGGAGCAAGTGTAGAAGGAACACTCAAGCATGAAACATAATGGCAAACTGATATTTTTGTTCTACAGTGTAATGCTCTGGACCTTTTAGCAAATTGTATGTTTTTGCCCTGTATCAAAATATAAAGTTAAAAACCTTCAAGAGGATACAAATGTGAGCGATATGTTTCAGAGCTTGGCCCCATACCAAGTGCTGTATTTATAACATGGTTACTCAAAGACATACTTGACAGTAGCATATGGTTGATAACACAAGGTTTGCTGTTCCATTTACACATAGGAAGGACAGGTAAAACTTTTTAACCTTTGGAAACATTCCATAAGAATCTCTTCAGTACTCTTGAAGGATAATATTATGGTGATGTTCCTTATGTTAGTCCCTGCTTTTCCTTTTTTGATGTCATAGATGCAGGATTCATCTTCCGCAGACATTTTAGGCAAAGTTACTCTCTCATCTACTGGAACTGGACACTGTCTTTATTTGCTGCAAAGAACATTAGGATTAAGGTAAACCACTGGAAACTATAATAGGCCTTAATTATTTTTAATATAGTCAGAACAGACTTCAACAAGTGTAGCTTTAAATATATAACAGCTCACATAGTTTTCCCGTTGAAGATTAGTGCAACTGGGATAGGAAAAACCAACAAGGATTACAGTGTGAAATCCAGGTCCTTTAGGCCTGTGTGCACTAGTTTCACTTATGAACGCAGTTCATCTCCTATTATTCTGAAGCTGAGATAGTTCAGTTGTGTTGACTGACATGGGGGATAACCCTCTTTTTCTTCTTTTAGCCAGTGCTGAGTGACGTGTTACAAGTGAGCCAGTACCACCACAACAGTTTATCCACTGACTTATACTCAGCATACGTGAACACAGTGTACAAGTTCTGTTGGGTCTTTAAATCCATCTGCATGCACTGTGCACTGATGCCGTGACAATACCATAAGTGCCCTTCCACAGAGGAGTCACTGGGTGACAAAATCTGCATAACTGACTTTGGAGCTCTGATCTGTAACACTTTCTTCAGTGTTAAGGGTATCCTGGCACAGAAGAAGAGGAGCCTTTTAAGTGGGTGACTTTTAGAGCAATTCTCAGTTAGATGTAACTTATTGTTAATTAGAAGCTCAACTCCTGTATCTGAGATTTTGCAGAACAAGATGATTGAGAGTATTACCTCAGTGCTTGGAAGCAAAGAGAAAAAAG